AAATTCACGGACATTTCCCGTTTTCCCGGACAGCGTGGGAACCCTGGAATTCTAAATATATCCACACGAAAATAACCAGGTGCTCAACTACACAACATTCCTGTAAAGTTTCATGACCCTAGGTTAAACACTTTTTGAGGTACATGCGACACAAGTTTGTTTGTTTTGTTTGGGTTTTACCTCACACCGACACAGTATAGGTCATTTGGCGACCTTTGGCTTTACTGGTGGAGGAAGACCTCAGATGCCCTCCCGTGCATTATTCAGGCATGAACGGGTACCTGAGTTAAGAACCACCTACGTTCCGTAAGCTAGCTGGATAGCTTCCTCACATGAAAGAACCCAAAGTCCCTGTTGGAATTTGAACCCACAGCGGTGAGGGGCAGCGACGTTAACCACTCGGCCACGGACCCCCCGCGACACAAGTTAAACAAGAGCCACCGCCTAGCTGGGGCAACGCTCGACTTTTAACTTTTTCTAAAAGGAAACAAAGAAATGTTTGAGCACATCTTAACATTTTCTCTTTATAATTTGAAAAGGCCTGTCTCGTCACACTAGTTTTGGCAAAGTATTAATCCTTTCTATAAATAAATGACAAAGTTAAGAAAATATTATCAAAATTCAGAAGAAAAAAAATATACACATATGTATTAGAGAAGAAATTTATATATACAGTTAAACTTCGTTCGCTCAAACTCGGATCGCTCGAATACCTCCCTTCGCTCGAACTCATCGCTCAGTCCCGGCAAAAATCCTATATAATATATATTGTTCTACCTTGGATCGCTTGAACACCCATCGCTCGAACTCTCGAACCTGATCTCTGGTCCCTTCGGAAGAAATAAAGTGTAAATCACACCTTTTCGGTCGAACACAAACAGACAGCAAAAGTTGCGGATCGACATGTTCTAAATAATTGACAGTCGGCGACACATGTTTTAAACACCTCGTGATCGTGACAAAGGCAATTAAGGTTAATTGATAAAAGGTGTTGTAACCTATTTGTTTGTTATGATAACATTGTATATTTGCCGTCTTTAGTGTAACAATAAAATGAAAAAATTAACTCCTGAAATGTGCAAGTCAATAAGTAAATAAAATGACGTTTACCCGGATGGCTTTAATTACAACTGTGGTTCATGTAACGTGAATTGTATTATTAATCTATTGATAGAATGATACTTGTATGTGTGTTTATTTTAGTAAATGACTACAAATAGATGCTACTGTAAAATGTTGTTTTTTTTAACATTTTATTAATTCATTGTTTAAAATAAAATTCATCCCATAATAAACATATAATTATATTTTAAACATTGTTCACAGTTTGGATAATGATTGTCCAATCGAACTCAACCAGTTACAATATGCATGCACATAGATTCACACAGTGTACCTTAATACTGTTTTCAATAGGATAATAATTTTTAATTTGACGTATTCGACAAAGAGATGTACTAACAAACAATTATGTTGACGTATTTATCATTTGACCGATGTAAGCTGGAAAACCTTTAGGCCTATGTTCTATGTAATAATAGTTCAACCTCGGTTGGCTCGAAGAAATTTGCACAGACCCTCCAAGTTCGAGCGAATGAAGTTCTACTGTGTATATATATATATATATATATATATACGGACAGACAAGGGTAAATGTAAATGCCCCCCCCCCCCCCTAAAGTGGGGGGCACAAAAATAGTACTTTTTACAGAAAATTTTAAGTTCGAGGGAGATAAATCTGAAAATATCAGTGCTAGAGTCACATAAGATGTGGTTGATGATAAGGAACATATATTTAAAGTTTTAAGTTGATACCTTAAGAAATGAATTAGTTTCAGTGAAAAATAATTTAGTGCAACAAAACTTATATCTAAACTCTGGACGCGGACGCTCGGCCGAGTAGGACAGCTCTCCATATACTTTGTATGTCCGAGCTAATTAAAAATGACAAATTACATGAAGACAAGAAAAACAAGAGGGCCAAGATGGTCCTGACCCAAAGACCTCATCAGAGCAATGTCTTAGACAAGCATCATGACAAAGTTTGATAACAATTGAGTTAAAATGTGACCTCTAGAGATGACCCATGTTCGAACTCCTCCAAGCAATTAACTAGAACAGCATCTTGACAAAGTTTTATGACAATTGATGACAATTAAGTAAAAAATGTTACCATTAGAGTATTAACAAGGTTTTTCCATATTTGGGCAGTGTGACAAAGTTCTTCACCCAGGTAAACCATATTCGAACTTGACCTAGAATTCATTAAAACAAACATTCAGACCAATTTCCAGGATATTTGGATCAGAACAGTAGCCACTAGAGTGGTAAAAAGATTTTTCTTTTTTTTAGCTCCTTTGACCTAGTTTTTGACCGTAGATGACCCATATTCGAACTTGATCTAGAAATCGTCAAAACAATCTTCCTGACAAATTTCCAGAATATTTGGATCAATACTGCAGCCACTAGTGTTCACAAGATTTTGCTATTTTTACCTCCTGTGACCTAGTTTTTGACTGAAGATGACCCGTATTCGAACTTGACATAGAAATCATCATATCAATTTTTTTGACCAATATCCAAATTATTTGGATCAAAACAGCAGCCACTATTATTAACAAGATTTTTCTATTTTTAGCTCCTGTGACCTAGTCTTTGACTGGCGATGACCCATATTGCAACTTGACTTAAAAATCATCAAAACAAGCTTTCTGAAAAATTTCCAGGATATTTGAATCAAAACTAAAGTCACTAGATTGTTAACAAGATTTTTCTATTTTCATCTCTTGTGACCTAGCTTTTGACCGGAGACGACCCATATTTGAACTTGACATAGAAAACATCATAACAACTTTCCTGACAAATTTCCAGAATATTTGGATCTAAACTGTAGTCACTAGAGTGTCAACAAGATTTTTCTAGTTTTAGCTCATGTGATCTAGTTTTTGACCTGATATAAGCCATATTCGAACTTGACCTAGAAATAATCAAAACAACTTTTCTGATTAATTTAGACGATATTTGGATCAAAATTGCAGCCACAAAAGTGTTAACAAGAATTTTTTATTTTTAGCTCCTGTGACCTAGTTTTTGAATGGAGATGACCCATTTGATCTAGAAATCATTAAAACAACCTTCCTGACAAATTTCAAAAATATTTGGAGCAAAACTGCAGCCACTAGAGTGTTAACAAGACTTTTCTATTACTAGGGTCTGTGACCTAGTTATTGACCAGAAATGACCCATCTTCGAACTTGGCCTAGAAATCATCAAAAAAAACTTCCTGACCAAATTCCAGGATATTCCACTAGAATGTTAACAAGCTTTTTTCTATTTTTAGCTCCTGTGACCTAGTTTTTGACTGAAGATGACCCGTATTCGAACTTGACATAGAAATCATCATATCAATTTTTTTGACCAATATCCAAATTATTTGGATCAAAACAGCAGCCACTATTATTAACAAGATTTTTCTATTTTTAGCTCCTGTGACCTAGTCTTTGACTGGCGATGACCCATATTGCAACTTGACTTAAAAATCATCAAAACAAGCTTTCTGAAAAATTTCCAGGATATTTGAATCAAAACTAAAGTCACTAGATTGTTAACAAGATTTTTCTATTTTCATCTCTTGTGACCTAGCTTTTGACCGGAGACGACCCATATTTGAACTTGACATAGAAAACATCATAACAACTTTCCTGACAAATTTCCAGAATATTTGGATCTAAACTGTAGTCACTAGAGTGTCAACAAGATTTTTCTAGTTTTAGCTCATGTGATCTAGTTTTTGACCTGATATAAGCCATATTCGAACTTGACCTAGAAATAATCAAAACAACTTTTCTGATTAATTTAGACGATATTTGGATCAAAATTGCAGCCACAAAAGTGTTAACAAGAATTTTTTATTTTTAGCTCCTGTGACCTAGTTTTTGAATGGAGATGACCCATTTGATCTACATTGTAGAAATCATTAAAACAACCTTCCTGACAAATTTCAAAAATATTTGGAGCAAAACTGCAGCCACTAGAGTGTTAACAAGACTTTTCTATTACTAGGGTCTGTGACCTAGTTATTGACCAGAAATGACCCATCTTCGAACTTGGCCTAGAAATCATCAAAAAAACCTTCCTGACCAAATTCCAGGATATTCCACTAGAATGTTAACAAGCTTTTTCTATTTTTAGCTCCTGTGACCTAGTTTTTGACCGGAGATGAGCAATATTCGAACTAGACCTAGAAAGTTTGATAATGATCCAATCAAAACTGTGACTGATTAGACATAACATGTACAGATGTATGGAAGACATTCCACCTTTCATTAATTAACTATAATTTGAAGAAATGCCATGGCCTGGGGCATTTTAGCTTTAGCGGCCCCTAAGAGGGGTCAGTCATATTAATATGAACAAACTTGATAAAAGACTATACCTAAGAATGCTACAGACAAAGTTTGATGGTATTCCATCGGTTAGTCCTGTAGAAGGAGACTAAAAAGGTTTTTCTATTTTTAGCTTTAGCTGTCCCTAAAATGGGCCAATCAAGTTGATATGAGCAAACTTGATAAAAAGCTACCTAAGAATGCTACAGACAAAGTTTGTTGATCATCCATCCATTAGTTCAGAACAAGAAGATGATTTAAGTTTATTCTATTTTTAGCTAAAGCTGCCCCTAAAAGGGGCCAATCAAATTAATATGAGCAAATTTGAGAAAAGACTACATAAGAATGCTACACTCACAGTTTGTTGATCATCCATCATTTAATTTGGGAGAAGAAGACGTTTTAAGTTTTTTCCATTATTAGCTCTGTTGATCCCTTTAAGGGGCCATTGAAATGACATGAGCAAATTTAAGTGTGACTGTCACAAGGATGCTACAGACCAAATTTGAGGTAAATCTGCCCAGCAGTTTCAGAGAAGAAGATGATTGTTGACGTATGACAAAGGATGCCGGACCATCCCCGTTTGATACTAATAGCTAACCCTGAACAAGCTAAAAAGCATCATTCATTTACACTTGTACTTGAAAGAAGATGTTTACAAACCTGGTTCTATACATGCCCTCACATACTTCTCTTTACAACAGTCTAGAAACTTCTCAACCTGTAGAATGGTTATCCTCTCTAACTCATACAAAACTGTAATATGTATAACATGTCTAACTATACTATGTAAGTAAATTAATACATATATATAGATAAATCAAACAAATTATTTAAATATTCACATAAGTTAAAATAATGAGTCAGTTTCTTAACTCTTCTTCAGATGTAATATTCTTTATCATTTTCATTTTCAAGTTCTAATCACCTCATTAAAAGTGATAAACAATATAATGTGAACCATCAATGACTATATAAGGAAATATTAACTACTTTTTTCAAATAAATGTCACAGATCTATTAGTACATAGGAAATAGCTAATACATATATCTCACATTATCTTTGCTTTTATGATGAGCTAAGAACAGTGTAGTGAGAGAAAGCCTTCTAACATTACCCTTTTCCTAAATGCTCAGATTTGTTACTTCTAGTAATCTTATACTGAAAAACCACCTCATATCACAGACCAGTTCAAAGACAAGTTGACAATTATACAGAATTACCTGATGCAGATCTTTCGCTAGAATCTATGTTAAATTTGTGTCTTAATTTGTCTAACTTCTCTGCCACATCGAAACAAAAATCTCTGAAATAGCCAGTCAAATCAGTAAAAGAATCTTGTTTAAATATATAGGCATTTGCGTAAAATATTTATGCAAAATATACATTATTATAAGCAAGGGCCATCAGTGATCACATGTGTCGCCTTATGATAGCCAGTCATGTGTCAGCTACTGTGTAGCAGGAGACACAAAAATCATTAACAGGGCAAAACACATTTTTTATTCAAGGGCTATGTTACTTGGCTAAAAACCCTTCAACCTGAAATCCTGCTGTGTAATATGGGCAAGTACTTGAGGTACCCATCAATCCTGTGAAGTTTCATTGAAAATGTATTAGTGGTATAAGAGTACTAAAGGAACATAACTCTAACAAAAATCTTTAAATCGAAAAATGCTGATGAGATACGCAACTAGACATAGTTTTGATCATTCCTGTAAGGTTTTTATGAAATTGTATCAGTGGTTTCTAAAAAGTAGTCCAAACAAGATGGCCATGATGGCCCTGAGTTGCTCGCCAGAAACAACTGCTTTTCAGTGTCGGAAATTATTTTTCAAACAAACTTGCTGAAAGGTAAGTCAAGCTCTTTCGGCAAGTTCAGCTCAACTTAACTTGTCCCTCTTGTAATAAACTTTCACAACACTGATTGTTTTGTTCTTTTTTCTTCATAATAAACAATAGGGCCAATAAGATGGCCCTAGATCACTCATCTAACCCATCATTTCATCAAATTTTTTATCAAAATTCTACTAACAAAATTTGGTGATCATCCATCAATTAGTTCTGTAGAAGGAGACGTTTAAAGGTATTTCTATTTTTAGCTTAAGCGGCCCCTAAAAGGGGTCAATCAAATTAATATGAGCAAACTTGATAAAAGACTACCTAACAATGCTACAGACAAAGTTTGGTGATCATCCATCAATTAGCTCTGTAGAAGGAGACGTTTAAAGGTATTTCTATTTTTAGCTTTAGCAGCCCCTAAAAGGGGCCAATCAAATTTATATGAACAAACTTGATAAAAGACTACCTAAGAATGCTAAAGACAAAGTTTGGTGATAATCCATCAATCAGTCCTGTAGAAGCAGACGTTTAAAGGTATTTCTATTTTTAGCTTTAGTGGCTCTAGGAAGGGGCCAATAAAATTCATACAAGGGCCATGTTAACATGGCCATCCCCCGCTGAATGTGTTTGCTCAGTGGAAGAATTTATATGTAGTTGAGCAGAATAATTCAATTTTAAGAGGTCTTTTGGTAATTAAAAATGATGCCGAAGTGATAAAAGATTGAAACCTATGTGAATACTGATGGCTGAAAATAACAAAGGACAGTAACTGAAAAAATAATGCAGGGTAGGCTATCATTCTTGTGTGCTTCACATTTCTCTCAATGAGATCTATTCACCTATGAAGTTTCAAGTTGATAACTCTTTTTAAGATAAGCTCCGGACAAAAAGTATGAAAAAGAACAAAAGGCAATAACTAAAAAATTATAAAGAGTAAAGTTATCATTCTTGTGCACAGCATTCCTCCTCAATAAGATAAATCCACCTATGAAGTTTCCATGTTGACATCTCAAATACTTTTTGAGTTATGCTCCACTCAGGTGAGAAGTATGAAAAATAACAAAGGGCAATAACTAAAAACTTATGAAGGGTAGAGTTATCACTCTTGTGCACCGCACAACTCCTGAGTGAGATCTATCCACCTATGAAGTTTCATGTCGATATCTCAAAGGCTTTTCTAGTTATGCTCTGGACAAAATGAAATTTGAAAAATAACAAAGGACAATAACTGAAAAATTATGCATGCTTGTGTGCTGCACGCCTCCTCAATGAGATCTATCCACTATCAAGTTATCAGTTGATACCTCTAACACTTTTTGTGATAAACTCCGGACAAAAAGTATGAAAAATAACAAAGGGCAATAACTAAAAAATTATAAAGGAAAGAGTTATTATTCTTACATCAGCATTCCTCCTTAACAAGATCTATCCATCCATGAAGTTTCATGTTGACATCTCAAAGACTTTTTGAGTTATGCTCCACTCAGGTAAAAAATTAAGTTTGAAAAATAACAAAGGGCAATAACTAAAAAATTATGTAGGGTAGAGTTATCATTCTTGTGCACTGCACTCCTCCTCAACATGATCTATCCACCTATGAAGTTTCAAGTTGATACCTCAAATATTTTTTTAGATAAGCTCCAGACAAAAAGTAAGAAAAATAACAAAGCACAATAACTCAAAAATTATAAAGGGAAGAGTTATCATTCTTGTGCAAAGCATTCCTCCTTAATAAGATCTATCCACATATGAAGTTTCATGTTGACATATCAAATACTTTTTGAGTTATGCTCCACTGTGTTGAAAAATTAAGTATGAAAAATAACAAAGGGCAATTACTCAAAAATTATTAAGGGTAGAGTTATCATTCTTGTGCACTGCACACCTCCTGAAAAACATCTATTCACCTATGAAATTTCATATTGCTATCTCAATTGCTTTTTGAGTTATGCTATTGACAAAAATTAAGTTTGAAAAATAACAAAGGGCAATAACTCAAAAATTATGCAGGGTAGAGTTATCATTCTTGTGCACTTCACTCCAACTCAATATGATCTATCCACCTTTTTAAGTTTCAAGTTGATACCTCAAATACTTTTTGAGATATGCTCCGATCAAAAATGTCGGACGGACGGAGACTTTTTCTATATCCCCCGCCGCCTTTCGCCTTTTGACCCTAAATGCATATGAGAAGTTTTAAATAAATATCTTTGATAGTTATTGAGATATGTAAAACTTGCATGTAAACACACACCAAGAGACAAGGAGATATATCAGCCTAAATACAAGAAAGAGTTATGGAACTTGGTCAGTGACATACACTATGACCCTTCATGCATATGTGAAGTTTCAAATCAAAATCTCTGATAGTTATTGAAATACCCTGGAGCTCCGTTATTATAGCGCTCATGTTGGGGTCCATGATCTCAAGACAGCGTTGTAACGAGTAACTTTTTATAGCGCTCATTTTGTAATTATAGCGAAAATATCGCATTACCCCACCCACAGCCGAAACATATACGCTTGTTAGTGGAAATGATAACTTACTTACCTATGAATGGATATCAGTCCAAACTTTTTTATATATTATTAATTATTATTTTGTATAGCATTACTGAATATGTTTAATATAAACATGAAATTTACGAATTAAAAATATAAACCACAAATGTATAATTGTTTATAAATTTCCAGTAAAACAACGGTGTTGACGTGAGTTTTGTGTAGTCATGAAAATTGATGCCAAGTTGATGGGACTACTGTATTCCTAGAAATGTTCGCGGATACAATATTTCGCGTTTTTTACAACGTCGGCATTTTCGCGGAGACAAACTTCCGCGGATTTGTATTAACCGAGAATTTCGCGAATATTAAGTCGCTACGGCCTAAATTACAGTTTTTGGAGGCTACGTTTTTGATGCATGACATTGTCTGTTGGGTACTTTTAATTCTTTTTTTTTCTAAAGCGCTATGTTACTCGATACTTTTTCATCTATTGTCTAGTAACACGGATGGTTGTTCCGTAAACACTTTTACTTATTTCCTAACCTTTTTCAATATGTGATTAAGTAAGACGTTAGCTTTTAATTAACATATGAATCATAACTGACTTTATCTTCAAAATGTCGATACGTATTTTTACACAGTATCAGATTGTACATCAATTTTATCAATGTAGCACTTGATCACTATTGTACTTTTTACAAAGGATTACACCTACTCCAAGCAATTAAAATCCAAGTCATTCAATGTATGCAAACTGTAAATGCTTTTGTGTACGCCGTGGCTAGCGAATAACGTCAATAAGCATGATATTTACTAGTAATTGACATTTTTTTCAGGGTCAAAACAGGTATCTATAACATACAAACATTATTCTAATCTTTACACATTTCTATAGCACCTGTGTGTACATGAATCGAGTTCTGAAATAAACTTTGAAAACTTTGAAACTTATAGCACCTGTGTTAATAAGTGTCTTGTGTAAGTAGATTATAATAAATGTTATGCTCGTTTATGTTTTTATTTGGTTGAAGCTAGAAATGTTCGCGGATTTGTTATGAGTGACATATTCGCGGCTATAAAGATTCGCGAAATCATGCCTACCGCGAAAAGCGCTAAGTTAAAATGCGCGAAATCTTTTCTAGGAATACAGTATATTAATCGTGTTTTCTGCTGTCTCTTGTGAAAAAATCAGTCATCTTCAACAACTTTTTTAGATCGAAAGTGCATGCTTTTTAAAATTAATTGTACGCTTGTGTGATTTACTCAACTCTTCGGTGTTTGCATGTCTTAGCTAACAGTTTGATACCTGACTGATCAGCAGTTCAAAATGAACAAAAGAGCGGATTAACGTTTACCTGTGTATGACTTCACACCTTTTGATCATGAGTGACGTAATTATGACTGTTTATTGCACTCGACTGACACATTGAACAAGCGATATAGTGGATAAGGTGCGGTATTGATATACATGAAAAAAAATTATAATCGGCGAAAAATACGGTTTTTTTTTTTGGGAGCCAAGGCATATGAGCGTTCTACGGAGATGAGCGCTATATCGAAGAGCGCTATATCGCGGCTCCAGTGTATGTAAAACTTACATGTAAATATTAACCAAGAGACTAAGTAAACAAGATTGCATTTGTAAACAAGATTGCATTTGAGAAACAAGAGGGCCATGATGGCCCTGAATCGCTCACCAGAAACAACTGTTTTTCAGTGATTATAGAAATATTTTTTTCAAATAAACTTGTAGAAAGACAAGTCCAGGTCAACTTCGACTTGCCTCTCTAGTTATAAGGTTTTCCCGACACTGATTGTTTTTTTCTTTATAGTAAAAATGATAGGAACCAAGTTTGGTGATCATCCATCCATTAATTTGTGATAAAATTTGCTTATTAGTCCAAGAGATGGCGGGGTTTTATTGCAATTTACCGTATCACCAAAAGAAACATTGTCATT